AATGGACTTCAGACAGGAGGTATCTTATAGATAAATAGAGCAGCAGCAAGGACAAATGGCAAAACAGAGGACTACAAAAGGAAAGGGGTAAGTTTTGAAAAGCAGAGAATAGTCCAAGAACCTGCTAGGAATGTCTGGACTTGGTTGTCACAATGAGGCTTACTGAGTCTAAAGACTGACTTTGAGTGCCAGGCTTTTCGTGAATCACAACCAACTCCCATCCCATCCAGTGTGAACACCCTCCTTTCCCAGTATCTGCACATCCCATCCAGTGTGAACACCCTCCTTTCCTGGTATATGCACATCCCATCCAGTGTGAACACCCTCCTTTCCCGGTATCTGCACATCCCATCCAGTCTGAACACCCTCCTTTCCTGGTATCTGCACATCCCATCCAGTGTGAACACCCTCCTTTCCCGGTATCTGCACATCCCATCCAGTCTGAACACCCTCCTTTCCCGGTATCTGCACATCCCATTCAGTGTGAACACCCTCCTTTCCCGGTATCTGCACATCCCATCCAGTGTGAACACCCTCCTTTCCCGGTATCTGCACATCCCATCCAGTGGGAACACCCTCCTTTCCCGGTATCTGCACATCCCATCCAGTGGGAACACCCTCCTTTCCCGGTATCTGCACATCCCATCCAGTCTGAACACCCTCCTTTCCCGGTATCTGCACATCCCATCCAGTGTGAACACCCTCCTTTCCTGGTATCTGCACATCCCATCCAGTCTGCACACCCTCCTTTCCCAGTATCTGCACACTAACTTATTTTGTGCCCAGGAAGAGTGGGAGCAGAGGAAATGGGTTCATAAATCCATTTATAAATTATTTTTTATTTTATTTATGAGTGAGTGTGAATGTGTGTGAACATTGAGTGCGTGCTGATGTTCTCAAATGCCAGAAGAGTGTCAGATCCCTTGGAGCTGAAATTACAGGCTTTCTGTGAACACCCCATGTAGGTGTTGGGATCCAAACTTAGGTCTTCATGATTGAAGTACCACTGAGCCACCTCTCCATCCACCCTTCAACCCCCATGAATTTGTTTTTAATTCATTGATTTATTAGAGAGTATGTGCATGCCACAGAGTGTACGTGGAGGTCAGATTATGACAACACTAGAGAGACTGTTCTCTCCTTCCACTATATAAGTCCTGGGATTTAATTCAGATAGTCAGTCTTGGTGGCAAGCACTTTTTCACTAGATGAGCCTTCTCACTTGCCAGCCATAAATCCTCTTTAAAATGATAATCTATATTCAGCAAAAAATAGTTTATGACTCTGTCATTAATGTTTTAAAATGTTCTGCATCTTATTTATTGGCCCATATATAGTATGTTTTCAGAATTTTTCTAAGCTACATGTGGGAAATGGTTGATAAAATGCTGACCATTAGATATTTATCTACATTCATGACAGCATCAAAACTCAGCATGAAATACTCCACTTCTCTTTTTGATAGCCTTGTGGATTTAGGCTTTTGTCCCTGGGAAAACCTTAGTACCATAGACTAAAATGCCAGCATCGTGCAAATTGGGGACAGAGGGTCATAGAAAAGCCAACACGAACAGTTCATCTCTGGAATTAGTAAACACTGATGAAATCTTAGTTGGGCACTAAGTTTTTTTTTTCTTGGAATGACTGGGTAGGTGCATTAATCCCAGAGCTAAAGACAATGCAACCAATGTAATATTTATTATGTCAAACACACTACAAGCCCCAGCCTGAGAAATCTCCACACTGACTCAGCAACAAAAACATCTTACACATAAAGTAAAGAAATCAATGTGTGGTCATAAATCAATTACAGACATGCCTTGGGGAACACAGGCACTCCCAGCCCTTCTCTGGGAGAGATGAACAGTGCATTCATTCACCGTCAAGTTACGCTCTTACACAGTGTCTCTGAGGTCAGTTCCTGACCTTGCATCTAAAACACTACTGGATGATCGGGAATGCAGACCAAAGATGGTTGAATAGTTCACAGAGAAAATAAACCTGAAAATGAGCTGCCCTCGCAAAGAGAGCAGCCTGAAATCCATCAGGCAGAAGCTCAAAAAAGGTTGCATCAGTTGGAATATTGTTTACTTCAGCGTTGCCTACCATTGCTACTCCCAGGTCACTATTACCAACACATATTGAAATACTCCTCTGTTGATTTGGTGAGATAAATCTATTGATCACATGCCAAAAGTGAGGTCTGCTGACAATGCTTGCAAAAAGGATTACAGAGCCCCTGTCAGCCTTGGGGAGGCAGGCTGCTGCCGAGTTCCAAGCTGGCTCGGTTCCCAGCTTCGCTCTTGGCTCATTTCCTGCAGGAGTAGACCTGGTTACTCGTCTTGGGCACTTGATACTAACCAAAAACAAATTATGAAATACAATTTCTATGTATAAGCCTATGCCGAGTTCCCTGAAACCATCTCTAAGAGATGTTTTTACAAGTCAGCTTGTTTGGCAAACTACTTCCAAACAGATGTCACAACGAGTAACAATTAATTAGTTGCTGTTCACCTGCCATTTTCACAATTTGCAAAGATACTATAAGTATTGCCTAATTTAACACCCCCAGAAAACTTCAAGGTGTTAAAAATAAATAAAAAGTTCCCTTATTAGTTTAAGACTACACCAATTCTGAGAAGAAAGTGTCCCTCTTAACCTAGAAAGATCGTCACCAGTTTGTCATGCAATGATTTAAGTGAAAAATTTAAACATTTGAAGTTCATGATGGGAAACTTTATAAGCAGTTCAACTGAAATTGAATAATGTTCCTTCTAAACTGACAGGCTACACAGGAACTGACTGAAAAAAGTTGCTGGGTGAATGCCCAAATATTCTAATCACGAGGATTGTTCTCTAAAGTGGATAGATCAGGTGCTGTTGAAGACTGATGGAGTATTCATCTGTGGTGCATAACTCACTGCCAAATTCAAGTACAGATTCTTAACAACTTTGGTAGGTACAAATGAAGATTCACAGGGGCATTTCTGAGCAGCACTAGAAAAATAGCCTTTCTTAAGCTACCGCACCTAGGCTGCACATAAAAGTTTCCAGAAGTGTTTTGAAAAATGCAGACTCTAGGCCCCATCTCAAGCTGATTAAATTTTGGGAAGGGGGTCTTGACAAGGGTTAAGCATCAATGTATTTTGTTTTGTTTGGTTTGGATTTCTAAAAACCTTGGGGAATTCTAAGAGCAGCTATGGCTGAGAAACAGCCATTTCAACAAAACGACCAAAATCAACTACATCTCTCCCAAACTAATCACACCTCTTCCTCCATTTCCTGTTCTCTCCACTTGTGCTCATCAAAAGCATGGCCTGGCTCTGAGCCTCCACAGGAAGCACAAAAGTCCATCTCTGGGGTGCCTAGCAAGTACAATAGTTGTCTGTAACAGTACAATTCTAATGACGGACTACATCGTTAGAATATAGGTTCTCCATGCTCCAGTCTTTAGATGAAGTTCAAAGTCAGTTAGGTGCTACTGCCAGAGGTAGTTACCATCTCCCATTTTTAACCTGCTTCAACTTTTCTCTGAACATCATTTCCCCGGTCTATGGAATGTAGCTTGGTAGCTACTAAAGACTTCTAGAACTGCCTGGCTCAGGAGCAAATATTCTTGCTGTAGGTGTGAGCCTAGTTTTAACCCTTATCATTTTAGTACCACACCTCCTCTCGTACAGCACTCTGATAAATGAGCTAGTCTCTTTCCAAAAGTAATAGAAGAGGAGAAGAAACCTTGTTGAAGAAGCACTAGAACCTCACAGGCTTTTTACAGACACTAATTCCTGCCATACAATTTACAGGGTCTAGGTTAATAGCAGAATTCTATGTATCCTTTCCCAAAGCCCCTTCTCTCACTACCCCAGTGACTGTTTCAGCATACATTGTTGAGGCCCTTGTCCCAGATACATTGCTCATTATCAAAACTCTCAGGAGGTCATTGGTTCATGCCCAGCAGTCTTCATCTGTTTCCACAACCCTGAAAGGGATTAGCATTTGAACTATACATCTTGTGGATAGGAGTTTATTTTTCTGTGCTATCCTTAAGCAATTTTTTTCCAGCCCTTGGCTTCTGGGCTGATATGTTGCAAGAGTCTCCAGGGAACAGGTGCTGAGCAGTCAGATGGCAGCTGTTGATCAGTTGAAATTCAGCAATTAGAGGCTGCAGGAGAATGCTGTCACACACAGTTTGCACTGAGCATTCACGAAGCCAAACATATGAGTTTCTGTATTGTGTAAACAACACACACACATGCATGCACACACACACAATGTCTGTATGGTCTCAAATTCACTATGTAACCCAGGATGACCATAAACTCCTGAGCCTTCTTCCTCCGCCTCCTGAGCTCTGGGCTCGCAGGCACGCACTGTCATACCCTGATATGCAGCAATTGAACCCAGGGCTCGGCAAGCTCTCTACCAAATGACCTGCTTCCTTCATCTTTTCAATATAGTAGCTGAGGAGTCAGAAGGGAGACAAAAGCAGCACCTCCTAAAAGATAACCTGAAACTGGATTTTATACTAGAAATTTGAATGGTTTAAAAATTGAAAATCTCTTGGAGCATAAAGGTCTTATTCAGGCAATGTTGAAATCCTAGGTACTGATTTGGGATACATAATTATCTGAAATAATAGACTCCAAGGCTCAGGTTGACAAAACAATCCGTCATTATATCTCAGCTGGGGCCTTTCAAAAAGATAAGCTGAAAATCTTCACCAACCCCAGCATCACATTTAAATCTCACCCACAGTGTAAGCAAGGAAGAAAAAAAGAAAAACTTGCTTCTGAATTATTTTTCTGAACCCAGAGAAATAGCTGGGTTTTGCTTGCAGGAGTCGAAGGAAGAATTGATAAATCTATTTCCCTCTCCCCAGGCTCTTCTGCTCCAAAGCTCACCTAACATTTTACAGAAACACACACACACAAAAAAAAAAAAAAACAGACAGACAGCTGGACAAGAGAACTGGGTGGGAATTTCACACTGTGTTGGCTTAACTCTGGTGCTGGGAATTAGGTCTCATGTGGGCTAAGGGATACGAAGCTCCCCAGCTCAGGACTGGCAGGGTGACATCAGATGATCACGCTGACGGTCATGCTCTGGCCATGGGGCACAATTTTTCGAGGCCAGGAGAGCAGCATTTTGCGCAGCTCCTCTCTGAAGCTGTCATGCAGCCAGGCGTAGATGAAGGGGTTGTAGCAGGCAGAGCTCATGGCCAGCCAGTGGCAGAGGAGCTGCACCAGCCCGAAAGCGTAGGGGTCGATGGCACGGGGGTCCAGGTCCCGAAGCAGGTTGAAGATGTGCAGCGGCAGCCAGCAGACGGCAAACACCACTACCACCACCACCAGCAGACAGAAGGTGCGGCGGCGACGCGCTCGGTCCCAGTCAGCTTGGCTCTGGGTCACGCTGCCAGGCACCACGCGGTTCCGCAGCTTCACCGACACCCGGACGTAGGACAGGAGGATGGCCAGCAGGGGGAGCAAATAGGTGCCCAACAGCAGCCCCCAGGCATAGAGCTGGCGCTGGCGCTCCTGTGAGCCCCAGAACTCCTCGCACAGGCGTACGTCGTGGGGCTTGAGCTCCACATGGTAGGTGTGCACTGCGGCCGGCAGCGCCAGCACCGCGGATAGCGCCCAGATGCCCAGCACAGCGTAGGCGCTGAGCTTCAGTGAGATGCGCCGACGTAGCGGATGCACCAGAACGACATAGCGGTCCAAAGCAATTGTGGTGAGTGTGAACACCGATACGTAGACGGTGACCGGCTGCAGGAAGAAAACCAAGTGGCACAGGCCTCCACCGAACACCCAACCGCGAGGCTCAAAGGCATAGGCCAGCGTGAGAGGCACGCAGGCGGCGCACATGAGCACGTCGGACAAGGCCAGGTTGCCGATGAGGAAGTTGGTCACATTGTGCAGCCGGCGCACGCGCGCGATCACCAGCACAAGCAGGCAATTGCCCACCAGCCCCACGACCACCACAATGCTGTACAGCATCACGATCAGCCCCTTCAGCTGGTGCACCAGCTGCAGGCTCTGGAAGGGCGTGACTGCTGCAGCGCGGGGGACTGTCACCGACCCGTTGCCCTCCGAGGCCTCTGCGCTCTGGTTGCCTGGAGTGGAGCCGGCTGGCGGCAGCCCAGAAAACAAATCGGGGTCCCCGGGGGTTCCAGTGGGCAGTGAGGTCATGGCCACCTGTCCAAAGGTAATCAAAGTTGTCACTTTCCATCTTCCATCCACCCCTCATGTACCCTCCCCATCACCCAACTCCACTCTTTGACATAACTAGCCCCAGAACATCAAATGCAATAAATGCTGTCCTCCCCGCTCTATAAAATAAACCTAGTACAGGTACTTTAAACCGCTCCTGTTAGTGGCTAGCTCTTGCGGTCCAGGAAGGCAGACCTGAGAGCTGATCCTACCTGTGAGCTGGCTTGGCTGGCAGGAAAAGATTCTCAAAGGCAGGCGCAGACTGCCTGCTATCCCTCGGGAGTCCTCGGCCCAGATGGCCACTCGAGCTGCTCTCTTCTGCTAATGGATCCAGAAGTACCTAGTGGGCCAGCAGCTTTTGAGGGGTCTGAGAGCTCCTCCCCTCCACCTCTTCCCCCACTCCACCTCTCCCTTTTATGGAAGATGGAGGTGGAGCATGTTGCCCAACTCTGTGCTTAGAGAAGGGGAGCTGCGTGTGCAGTAGGGATGGAGCCAGGAAGGGGGCAGGGCCAGTAACCTGGGCCCCAAACTCCAGGGGTGATCTCCACTGCGGAAGTGTGCAGTGTCCAGAGAAGCTGTTCTGGACGGGCGTGTCCAAGGGGGAGGTGAGAGGAGATGCGGGAAGAGTCAAGTTGTGGGGACCAAGAGATGCAGTCTCAAGAGGCAAAGGGTAGGAAAGAATGTGGGGATAGAGAAATCTAGATACACTAGGTATGAAAGGAAGACCGGACAGGACATCTCCAGATTCTGCAGAGCTCCAACTGCAGCTGACAGAGTCGCTAGAGTGGGATAGGGAGTCTAGCAGGACTTTGCTGTGCTGAGTCTGCCGCTGGTCAGGGATTTAAGGGCTGTGGCTCTGCAGAGGACCCTTTGAGCCTTTTGCACGCATTGTGCGCGGTCCCTTTCAAACAAAGGAAAAATTCAGCACCACGGGCAGCTTCCCCAGGGCGCAAAGGGTGTGTGGGTACTGAGCAAGGGGGCGCGCGACAGTCGAAATTACTGCAGCTCCGTGGGTCTGAGGCTTGTTCCCTGGGCCACGGGTTCAGAGAAGTACCGGGTGGAGGTCGAAGAGTTGGTGACTTTGCCTTCAGTGTGGATCAGCACCACCAGGGACCATACCATCTTTATCTTCCTAGCAGCTATCAAACCAGTTTGTGCTTCACAGATTCACTCCAAGATCTGAATCCTGCCACTTCTGGCTCACTCCTCTTTCTCAGCTACAGCAACTGCAGGGCGCCTGCTGTCCTAGCAGAGAATTGTTGAGTTCCTGACCTGCTGTCTCTCCTTTTCCTCCTTAAATAAAAACCCTCAGGCCTCTCTGTCTCAGTTTAGTTAGAATAACAAAAACGACATTTGAAAAGCTTAAGTATCATAACTTTTAGTAGCATTGTCACCAACACATAAATCAAGCCGCACAGTGACAGGTCTGTCAGAAAGGGACTTTGTAACTACTGTTCAGAAGCTGTTGTAGGCCAGGGCTTCAAGAAGAGGCTGAATCCCATGGTCTGACTACCTCTCTAGTAAGTCCTGCTCTGGCCTCTGGGGCTTCAGATATCCCAGCTCCACTGGAAGCAGTAGCAGGTTATCTCACCCTTAAATTTCCAGTGAGTCACTCACACAAGAAGAAAAGCCAGCTATGATACAAAAGCCACCTGTTTGTGTGCCTATTTCCACCTGGCAACCACACCCCCTGAGCCATAATCCATGAAGCAGAAACCAATATAAACTCCTGGTGCTAAGTAGTTCATGTGTGTACTGGGGAACTTTCCAAAGAAGATAATTTACCTCTTGCCAAAACAATGTGGTAAAGGCTCTAGGTAACCACCAATACATGCAAAGCTAAGAAGCTGTAATTTCAATTCAGGTCTGCTTTACTCCAGGAAAAACCTGTTCAGTGTGTGTGTGTGTGTGTGTGTGTGTGTGTGTGTGTCTGGTATCATTCTTCAAAAGCTGTTGTTATTTTGTTGTTTTGATAGCAGTACTCACATAGGGATCTAGGGATCACTGATTAGCTTTAGGCCGACTGATCAATGATACTCAAGGGATCTGTCTCCATCTCCCCAGCACTGAGATTACAAGTGTGTGCCACCATGCCAGACGCTTTAAAGGAGTCCTAGGGGCTGAACTTAGGTCCTCATGCTTGTGAATCAACCATCTTAGAAACTGAGCCACCTCCTCAGCTCCCCACTGCTGTATTTTACTGGCCATGAGTGAATAACAGGTGAACCTGCCCAGACTGAAAATACAGCAGATTCAAATAGGTCTATAGATAGAAGCTCTAGAAAATTGTTTCACCGAGGAAAGCTCCAGAAAGTCCCATTGTAAATCCAACCTTATCATGACCAAGTTCAACAGATATGTATGCCTCAACCAAAACACCGCTTCTACTTCATGTATGGGGACAGACTCTTAGCCATATGAACTTCAGGGAACATTTGCTAAGAATCGCTGTTGTGGTCTGAATTAGTATTTCCCCAAAAGCCTGTGTATTAAAGGCTGGGACTCCACCCTATGGTGCAATGGGGAGGTAACAAAACCTTTAAGAGGTGAGGTTTAGTGGGAGGAAGTTGGGTCACTTGGGATGTGCTTGTCAAAGAGAATTATGGAAAATTAGTCTCTTCCTCCCCCACCCTCTCTGCTTCCTAGAATCAGTAAGATGGGTAACTTGTTCCAATATACACTACCTGTTATAGTGGCCTGCCTTGCCATTTGCCCCCAAAACAACACAACCAGGCAATTATGGACTGAAACAAAACCATAAGCCAAAATAAACCTTTACACTCTATACCTTGGTGATCTCAGGCACTCCATACAGCAATGAAAGGTTGTCTAATACAATGGCAGTGTACGACATGATGCAGAAAAATATAGGACAAAGACAGTGGCAACAAAGACTGGAATTAAGGGGCCAGAAAACTTGATTAAAGGTATTCAAAAGGTGTGTGCATGTGTGTGCACATGCATGCGTGGGTGGGTGCATGTGCACATGTGTATGTGCGTGTGTGTGCATGTGTGTGCATGTGCATGGATGTGTATGTGTGTATACATGCGTGTGCATGTGTGTACACATGCATATGTGGGTATGCACATGTGTGTTCACGCAGTGCGTGTGTGTGCACGTGTGTCTTTGCACATGTGTGTTCACGCAATGCATACATGTGTGTGCATGTATGTGTAATGTGTGGAGTACAGAGGCTAGAATAGGATGTCACCCTCTATCGGTCTCTATGTTAACTTCTGAGCCTGGAGCTCTCCACTCCAGATAGATGGACTGACCAGTGAGTACCTGAGACTTATTTATCTCTTCTTTCCCTGCTCCCAAAGCTGGGGTTATAAACACATACCACCATGCCTTGTTTTTCACATGGGTGCTGGAGATTCAAACTCAGATCCTCATGCTGCGCAGCTAAATTTGTGCTTTTGTGCTGAAGTTATCCCAAATACACAGGAAACATTGCAGAAAGAAAGCAATTATTTAAATTTCATCTAAGTCCAGGCAGTCACAGGGCACATAGCTCTCTTGGATATAAGTTCCAGACCTGTCCTTTGTGTGTTCCAAGGTACAGATAGTCCCTTGGCTCATGGGTTGAACCCTTTAACAGCCCTAGAAGACTCTGCCACAGAGCAGAGCTAACCACCTTGGTCAGATAACAGCCTATAGCAGGCAGTGTAGGAACTGATACAACTAACTCATAAAAATTCCTTGTGTCTCATTTAGATGGCTCTGAACGGGGCTGAGCAGAGTTGCTCTTTTCTGTCTGGACTTTTCCTCTTGTCCTATCAGAAGTCAAAAGCTAGACTCAAAGGTCCTGCTGTCCTCTCACCCAGAGGCATCCCTGAAGTGACATTTAAGGCTGCCTCATTTCAATCTGAAGTCTTTATTAAGTCCCAGACCTTTTGGCTGAATGCTTAGTCAAACTCTGACGACATTCTTGACTGTGTCCTGAACTCTGAAGGAGTGAGTGGTGCCAAAAGTCTTGAGTTCAGGGGACAGAGTGGTAAAAACAGTCCTTTGTTGTTCTCATGAATCACCCGTTGGACTGTATTCTGGGTAGACTCTAGGCAATCTCAAGGAACAGACAGGGGATACCATGCCCAGCATATCCCTAGAGTAGGAAATACTCAAAACAAGTACACCTTCAATATATAATATGGCTCTTTGCATGAGATTGACTTTGCTCTGACGAGAATTGCTGGTTTTCAGTCTTGGTCCATGTAATCGTTATTTCCCAGGTGCACAAAGAACAAGGCCAGAAGTTGTAAGAATAATCAGGAATAAAATATTTTTAAAGATATTATCATCTAAAATTCTGCAGTTCAGTGAATGAGAGAGAAGTCTACAGAAATTGCCGGGATATATGAACTGTGATAAATGCCATCATGATGTGCAATGCAATAGAAAGGTTAATTATCACTGGGAAGTCATTAACTTTTATAACTTAGAGCTGTGCTCACTGTCATAGATCATATTTATTTAAATGTACATAGGCATGCCACTCTTCCCATGTTTGTGTGTAGTGAGTACTACACACATGGGCCCATAATGAACTCCCATAATTTGTTTACATGCTCACATAGCATGAAAGGAATGAGAAGAGGTGTTCTTCATGCCTTCAGAAATGTCCCTCTAAATGTTCACTGGCATGTTCTTCAGGCAGTGCTTTGTATCAGGAAGCTGTGTTTTCTACATTAGCCCACTTGCTCAATGTCTGTCTTCCTGGAGATGTATTTCCAACCATCTCTACTGCTTCTCCAAGCTGTTAGATGGCTCTGCCTGTGGCTCAAATAATAAAACCCAGAGACAGATATTGGGGTTCAAGCTGAAGATCAGAAAAGCAAAGCAGCCAAGCCACCAGAGAGTTCTTACCTATACCAATCAAAGGGGCGATTCTGTCCTCAGTGTACCTGTAGACTGCAATGCTCTCCACCAAACCTCAGACTGCAATGAACTCTTGTCTCCTCCTGCTTTATATACCTCT